GGGGTTTTAGGGGGCAAAACAGTTTTTAGGGTTTATAATTTTAAGATTTAGGCTTTAAAAATCCATAATTAGTGGCATTTTTGCAAATGGACATCCCTAAGTGGTATTCTTGCAAATAAACAGATCAAAAGTAGGCATTTTTGCAATTGCCCCCAAAAATATAATGTTAGTCAATAAAAAATGTACCTTTTGGAACTTCTTAATAAAAACCAAGAACAAGAAAAATTAACGCGGTGATATGGGCACCTTTATATATATCATACAAAAATATAGTCAATCGGTAAAATAACAAAAGAATAGAGTAAAAATTTGGTGAAAAATCAGTAAAATAACAAAAGAATAGAGTAAAAAGTTGATGAAAGTAATTAATTAGTTTAATGTCAAATATCTCTGCTGAAAGACGAATGTTTTTATACTACATTTATTTTATCAACTTCATACAATTTCTTATAATGAGAAATTTTGGTGTTGAACATATAAAGTGGCTTCATAACCGTTAATATTCTTTCTTTTTTTATATAGATTTTACCGAAAGATTTCCGAGAAGAAAAGATAATCACAACTTTTTAGAGGAGGGAAAGCGATAAATTTGAGAGTCCAAATGAAATTACTAGGTTAAAGAATGAAATGAAATAAAACATCTTGTTTTTTTGTCACAGTTCACATAAACTTTATGTATTGTAAAATATTATATCATCTCCAAGATTCTCGTCCAAGCCACATTGTACGAAATATGGAAAGATCGCAATCCGAGGCTGGTATGGGAGAATAAGTAAACCCTACACAGCAAACTCAGTAGGAACAATGCACTTTCCTCTCGCTATGGGTTGGTCACTTTTCACCTATCACCTCTGTCGTGAGTATAAATGGCCTTTGCTGTTGTGTATATGAACGTGTTTTTTTTTTTTGTTGAGAAAAGGTATTCTATTGAAATGCATAAAAAGACATGCTATGATTTTTTTGGATCAGACAGTTAAAAGAATTAGAAAATTTGCGAGTAGTCTAAGTTTACACTTTAGCTAGCTTTAGAATAGCAATTAATTAAGCTAAAAAGAGAGTGAAAGATAAGAGTACAACTAACTCACTATACGGTACTAGTTGAACTGGTCACGACCACCACGACCTCCTCGACCGTGATTCCCTCGTCCTGCAACTAGATTCCATTGCATTTCTTGAATTTTCCAGATAGGTTTGATTGGCCTTCCTCCACGACTCTTTTGTGAAGATACATCTTCAGGAACTGATTCTCTTACTGTATTAACATGTTTGTAAGATGAATTATAAGGTTTTAACTAATTTTGGGATGTGTGATAGTTTTTTTTTTTTTTTGCTAAAAAGGGATGTGTGATAGTTAAATGGAACTATAGAATAATATTCGATGAATCCACTGGACAAATTAAAAACATTTGATTGCGTTTGAATAATATTTTCACCCTTTTTTCTTCTTTTCAAATTGGAAAGATATGTAAAACCTTCCAACCC